ATTGCCTTGGATACCTTGATGGCCAGGTACCCAGATTAGCGTGATTTTGTTGCTCTTGCCCAGTTCATTTAGAGCTTGCATACAGTTCCAAACCATTGATGATTCAGTGGTGGTCTTAGCGAGAGCTCCTATGGCTGCTTTGCTATCTATATAGATGTTGATTCTCCTAGTTTTTGTCTCCCTTAAGAGTAAGAGTCTTGCGCATTCCAGGATGGCCAGGACTTCCGCTTGAAAGACTGTGGCCAACTTACCTAGGGAGAAAAACTCTCTGTGATTGGATCCCGGACTGTAAATGCCTGCTCCAAAGCGGCCGTTTGCTCCAGATCCATCAGTGAACCATGCATGTTCGCTCGGTTGGATCTGAAGATTTTTATTTTTCCAGTCTGCCCTGGCGGTTAGGTTTATGAAAAACGCTTTTTCCACCTGGTACTTTCTGGATATTCTGTCTTGCTTATAGATGAAAAGGGATTTGTGGAGAAACCCGAGTCTGGTGTGGCCCGACCCGAATTGTTTCCACCCCCCCTGACATCTTAGCCTGTATGCTGTGAGTCTGGCAGCACTGATGATTGTCAGACTTAGAGGTGGGATGCAAAGCGCCACCTCCAACGCCTCCGTTGGTGTCGTTCTCATAGCCCCTACTGCAGCTCTCAGGTAGTTATCTTGCAGGCTTTTTAGTAGGTTCTTTGACTCTGTCTTTTCCACTCTAGGCCACCAGACAACAGCAGCATATGTTAAGTTTGGTACTAGTACCGCCTTGTATATCCATAGGGCAGTGTTTAACTTGATACCCCCGGATTTGCCCATGGCTACGTCTAATGGATGTTTATGATAGATTTTTTTATAGATATCTACTATATTGTTGTATATTTACAAAACTTATTTATTAAACTCATTTATTTTATTAAACTTATGTACATGCATATGTATACATAAATGCACAAAAATGTCTATAAAACACAAATATTGCGCAAAACGTAAACGTATGTAACGAAAAATATGTATGCAGAACTGTATTCACATGATAGGGTATTTGTCAATGATGAAATCTTACTTTGTAATGGATGTATTCTATTCCGGTATGATGTGAGCACTCAGGTGTTCCGCGAACTTCATACTTATCCCGAGTCGAAATTTAACGTCTACATTGAGCCTCAATTTTTCTTTTTTTATGTAGGAGTAAGAGAGAAAGTAGATCCTACTTTGACGCTGCTATACGTCCGAAATTTCCTTTTTTCAAAAATTGAAGTTCAATGTAGACGCTAAATTTCGACTCGGGATTAAGTCGAAAAATAGGCGTCAAAACGACGATTAGGACGCTAAATGTTTGTCCGATTTCCTAATATAACTTTTGTGTTCTTTAATTCTGCTGTTAAGGTGTCTTTTTGTTTGCCCTACATAAGTTGCATCACACGAATTAAAATTAACATTGGTCTTGAAGCTGATACGTACAAACTTTTTTAAAATTGCATAAAAGCGGGCTTCAAATAATCACGTGTAAATCAACATTACATTAGATTAGATGTAAGACCTGTTCTTTTTTAAGAACTAAAGAATATACTTCTTGTAATATGCATCTTTTCTTAAATCTCATCTTGAATCTCATCGCCGAATAGTTACAATAATGGTTGCACTCATCGAGCGTTTATACAGCAGAGTTCCGCTTGACTCAAATTATTTGTTTGAAGTCAACGGGAGTGAATCGGTTCAGTAAAATTCTTTCTCTTCGTGTGCTATTATCTCAATATCGCGCACTTGTCAGCAGCTTTTTAATGTTTAACGTTTTTTTTAAATGTTTTAGTATTGAACGGTCACGGGTCTTTGCAACTTTTTTTTCATTTTATCAAAATGTCGGCAACTTCTTTGAAAAATTGTGTTTATTCATATAATGTTTATCAATCTACAAGGTGCATTATACCATGGTTTAATATGTCTCCAACTTAACTTAGAGCTTTTTTACATGCGTCTTAATAAAGTATTATGTAATGGTTCAGATTTTTAACTTTCTGGAGATATAAATACACTTTTTAAAGAAATCTAAAAAAAAAATCTCTAATCTCTTAAATTAGAAGATCAAATTCGAGCACATTAAAAGGATGTTTTAATTAATCCATTACATTATAATATAAAACGCTTTAAAAATAAAAACGCTTAAATAACATTTCATTTACGTAATATTTCAACCCTTACTTGGGTCTTCTTCAGACGTGAAAAGCAAAAAAGTCAGAAACGATGATCCGAACGTACAAAGTCAATCAGCACGGTCATCCTCAGTACAAATATAAATAGATTGGTTTTTTACCTTATAGATGGTAGTCTAAAATAAAGAACAGACAGGATACTCAATAGTCAACATCACAAGAATAAAACCCACAAACAACTTACTTGGTAACTCGCGGTTAAATGCTGATAAACAAGGTGAAAACGAGAATTATATAATGTTGTCCCCATCATAGAGATGCTTTCAAAGAGCTTACGTGGAAAGCAAATTGAAATACGAAGAATCAAGTAAATCTAAATCATTAACTGAGTTTAAGCCATTCAATTGTAATTTAATATGGATCATTTCAAAAATTAATCAATGGTGTCCAGGAAAGAGGCGTTACTGAACAATATGCTAGATGGTGTGCAGATGTGTTATATTTTGAAATAATTAATACAGACATTTCGACTATACATTTTTAGTCTTCATCAGTGCTCTGAATNATAACAAAATTGGTAAAATAGAGGGTTATTATATGTCGTGTGAAATACAAATATAACTTAAAAAATAAAAAATAATAAAAAACAAAGTTGTAACATACCAATATATAATCACAATCACGAGTAAGACGACAAGTATAAAAAATTCATATCAATAATCAATGTTTAAAATATAAAAGATGTTATTAAGTTATAAATCGATGTTGTCAAGTCAAAGTCGTCGTCTATACTGAGTATGATGATAAGAGAAAAGTCACATTTACAAATAATTTGNTAGAAACGCTGCTTTATGTTGTTGTAGCGGTAGAATTAAAATGGTCGGAAATACATTATTTAATATGTCATTAACAGAAAGATCATTTAATTTTGTCCAACAACGGTAAATATATGTTGTCTAACATGTCTGTGTCTTGCATTTTATTAAGACTTTGTGTTTGCAATTTAATGTGCAACATTTCAGACGTGAGTCTTTTAATCAAAAATTAATCTTTTGTAGTAATTTGATTCTTGGTCTACAATCTGAACATCATTCCAGTCAAACGAATGACTCAAATCAGACCTTTGTTTTGAGATAACCGAAAGTTGAGAAGATTCTTTTTTTATGTTATTGAAATGTTCCCTGATTCTCGTTTTCAACTTCCTCTTGGTCTGCCCGACATAAGACGCTGAACAATCATTGCAGTTTATCTTGTAAACGATGCCTGTGTGGGAATCGTGTTCAGTTTTATCCTTATGAGCCTTAATTATGTTGTTAAGTTTATTAAAACATTTATATCCGATCAGGAAGTCACTTTTCTTAAAAACATTGGAAACCGTTTCAGAGAGATTTTTAATATAAGGAAGAACGATTATCCGTCTCTCTCTCTCTCTCTTTGTTGTTTAATCTAGTAATGTTAGAATTTAATTTGTAAAATAGTTTTTTTAGTCTGTGATTTATGGTATCAAAAATAAACTTATGAGGGTAACCATTTTCGAGTAAAATGTTGATGATAAAAGCAATGTTTTTGGAATGGAAGTCAGAATGGGACAATAAAAAAGCCCTGTCTATCAAACTGATAATTGTACCTCTCTTGTGACACATAGGATGATGTGAAAAGAAGGACAAATATCTTCCTGAGAAGGTATCCTTATGATACCAATCTATCTTTAAAAAATTACGATGAACATGTAATGATAAGTCTAAGAAACAGATATTTCTATCCCTCTCCATCTCTACAGTGAATTTTATCCTTTCGTGGTATGAATTAAACGTGTTAATAATGTGATTAATTTCATTATTGTGGTGCCGCTAAAACAATGTCGTTTACATATCAGTAATAAAATGGCAATTTCAAATTAAGTCTGTTGAGTGCGTCATTTTCTATGTCTTGTAATACAATGTCCGCGATTATGGGTGATAACGGTGAACCCATAGGGGTGCCATACGTTTGTTTATAAACAACATTTTCAAAGGTAAAATAAGTTGAAGAGAGAACAAAAGACACTGCACTCAAAAACTCTTCCATCGGAATATTTGTGTTATTTGCAAAATGGTGCCATCTATTTTTTAAACCATTTATAGCTAGATCAATAGGAATGTTGGTAAACAAAGATATCACGTCGAGAGAGAGAAGAACATAACCATCGTCAATTTTGATCTCTTTGAAAGTTTTTCAAATAATATAAAACTATTCTTTATATTGCTTTTGGCTGGCGGGATGTGGTTAATAATAATTTTTTGTGTAAGAAATTAGCAAAATAAAAGAGCGGGCTATTAATTGAGGAGACAATGATTCTCATAGGTATTCCTTCCTTATGAATTTTAGGAAGGCCATAAGCTTTCGGTAGCAGTTTATCGCTTGATCTTAAAAAGAAATACTTACGCGAATCGATAAAGCCTTTGTTTAATCAACGTTTTAATAGGTTATTTAAATTGGATTCGATCTTCCTGATCGGGTTATGATTAACTATTTGATAGGTGTTTATATCCTCTAGCAACGATTTAATTTTTTTAGAGTAATCATGTCTGTTCATTGCAACTGTGACGTTGCCTTTATCCGCACGCATAAAAATCAAGTTAGGATTGTTCTTTTATAGTTATTGCATGTCTTATACATAACAAGTAATTTCCTATCTGTATCTGAGAGTTTAAAGTTATTGTCACGGAAAAATTGTAATCTAGGTATGATAGCATTCCTTGCTCTCGCCTTCAAATCTATATTGCAGTTTTTTAAATTGTATTCAGTATCCTTGATGTATTTGTGGATGAGTTTGATCTTGTTTGAACTTTGTGGAAGGCAAAATCTCTCACCCAGCTGTAAAATGTTAGATACATATTCTGGAATTTCAGTTTTCGAAATGTTTAGGAATTATTTGTTGTTTGTTGTCCCTAATGGATTCACTGGAGCTTTATTTGAGAAAGTGGTGGGTGAGACTTGAACCGATACAAGATTGTTCGATGTGGTTCTTAATTTATCATTCTCATTGAAATGAAAAGTACAATTGTTTTGGTGGTAAAAATATTTAATAGGTGAGATTTTATCGCAAGTCTCTGTTAAAAACAAATTAAAAAGCCAATCTAATCTTTTTCCACTCCAGATGCATAAAAAACTGGCTTGATGTTTTTCTGATTTTCAATTCTTCTTGAAATTTTATTCTCCTATCTTTCTTATACTTGCAGCGGAAGAGAACATAATTGATATTTTTCCGTTAATGTTATGGTGTAAGGAAGGTATAAAGGTCATCATACACAAAATCGAATAGCTTGCACACAACAGTACAAAATCGTTTAAGCCACAGAGCATTCAGCATAATGTTGCCATAGTAATTTACATAAAACTATGCTAGATGCGACATTGATTTATATAATGAGACGAAAAAAGAAAAATTATTTATCTTATTTGAATTTCTCTGATGTATTTGGTCCCAAATTTGATTAACTGTTTTCATCGTCATTATGCGCAATGTTACCTTGTTTCTTCTTTTTTTTTTTACACCATGCGACGTACGATCGATTGAGAGACTCATTGAAGCGTCTCTAATCAGTCCAATTCACAGTGATGCTTTTTGCGCGAGATTAAATGCCGACTCTAACGATCCAGTACTTTATACGGAGATGTGCGGTCGATGCTGCTCGCGGAATATCCTGCGTTTATCATTCTGTACGAGAAGCGGAGGTCGCAAGATCGAACGAGCAGAAGGAAGAGTACAAGATGCAGCAAAGAGTAAGAGAGAGAGAAAGAGAAAGCGAAGAAGAAAATAAGGAAGACGGCCCGAGGTCCGACCGACTCTGGCCAGGGCCGTATCGGCAGGATTAATGGCAGTGACATCCCGCTCGTGGCCAGATGAGATTCTCCATCTCACTCGAGAGCGAGAGGAACGCGATGCGGACATGTGACGGAGACGAGAAACAAAGAAGGAAAAAGAGAGAAAGAAAGAGAGAGAGAGAGAGAGAGATAGGGAGAGAGAGAGAGAGAGAGAGAGAGAGTTCATGAGGAAAGGGGAAGGGATCCAGAAAAAGAAGTCAACGACGAAGCGGAGGAGGCAGAGGACCGATGTGAGCCAAGTGCGTTGACCTTAGGATTCGATGCGCGTCCTTGAGGATACCAAGATGGCGGGTTTATGCAACCGGTCACAATGGTATCTGCAAGCGCTACACCGCGCTTCTCTCGTCGCGTTCTATTTGACGCACGACGATTCGACGCGCTTGCATTCTCGAAGGATTTCTCTCCCTCTCTCTTTCGCTGATGCAAGCGCTCTTCTTTTTCTCACGCGCACGCCTATGTGTTCGAGTTGCATTACACATGCACAAACCGCACGAGCGATCGGTGGTCGTCTATATGTATATATGTGTATAATTATGTACATTTACACATATGTACGTATATATATATATATATGTTTGTGTTATATATGTGTATATATATATATACATGTATATAAAACATATATAACGTATATACATATATATATATCTATGTGTGTGTGCGTGGTCACGTGGGTCGCACGTACGAGCCATCACGGACACGAGCCTGAGACGCGCCGTTAAAGCCAGTCAGTCCAGTTTCCATCGCTGCAGCCTGCACGGACGAGTCGGGGAATATGCGGCGATTCGAAAGGAAATCAAATCCGAAGGAAAGGCCAACGAACGGCCCGGACACGCCCGGCATATAAAGCCAAATGGAAAAACATGCAGCCGGGGCACTTTTGCGATGAAATTCCTCGAACGTTCGCGGGAACGACACATCTCTCGCGGTTCTTCCGCGTGGTACGTCTGTCTTCTGAGCTTGTCACTCGTCACGCCGCATAAACTGCTTTCTTACGTTATCTCGATTCTCCTTACTTGGCGCGATCATGATGAACGAATGTTTCATGGAAACGCTGTGGCGCATACAGATGTGCTTTACATATATATATCTTTATCAAATAAATCATACGTTATTCTATATTAAGAAATAAACGTAAACTTGATACAAAACATTGTAGGTACGTATTTTGAGATGCGACTTGTTTATGTGTTATGCTTCATTACTTAACTAACACGAAACGTTGCGTTTTAGTTGTAAGAAAAGCGTCTCTCTATTGTAAGAATAACCCTTGAGCAAAGCGAAAGGGGACGTTACGGTGAGGAACGGAAAGAAAAGAGAAAATATAAGTAATGTTACAAATCTTTCTTTAAAGTTACCAATCACCAAAACTTACAAATAAACTGAATATATAAATGTTTTATGACTTTTATAATTAAGCACTGTCTTTACTATCGAGCGCTGAACAAAGGTAAGAGAATACTGTCACAAGGCCGCTTCTAAACGTGTTAACTAATTCACGAGCCGGACGTCTTCTGATTTTCGTCTTTTGGCTCCGCTTTTGGATAGCTAGGCCGGCCGCTGTCAGCGCCGCCTGCTCTGTTATCGCTAGTAATACAATCGATTGTATCTCTTCGATAAATCGCGAGTTATCAGCCTCAGTGAACGAAAGGGGTCGCTGATCGCTGGATTAATTAACGCATGTTAAATAAATCTCTTACACTATTCTGATATGTTTGAAATGATCGGATGTTTCCTGAAACGGCCCGAAACGGTTCAAATTCAATACTTCTATTGCCGTTTTCGGATGTTATGCGGCGCAGGATAAAGACTAGTTTAATCCCCCTCAAATCGGTTAACCGAATCATTTGCCGTCAGGCATGTGAAACGATTTTCAATATAATTATGTATTTTTTTTTCCTCATAGACGGAAACCAAAAATTCTGGTTAACTTCCCGGGAAGTTTTTTCATGTCACCATTCGTCACATCGTCATGATGGGCACGCAATAGATTATGCACCGTGGCCTCCGGCACTACAAATCTCAAATTCTCTCCATCTTTCTTATATAGCACTAGCCTGTTAATCAATGCGAATTCATCGCCGTCCTTGAATTCTAAGCTGTTACTGTTTTTTTTTTTGTTGTTATCGAAATCTAGAACCGACTGATTTTCCTCTATCTCTTTCCTAATTTTTAATACTTTTCCTTACTATCCCCGCTGCCCTTTGGCGCCATGCCCTGTGCCTCTCACTTACCTTGCTTGTCTTTGCACTCTTACTCCTTTCCCTCTTTATCTATCCTTCTACCTTTATTTTCTGCGTTTCCTCTTATACCTATGTGTTTAAACCAATAGGTTTTGTTCTTTTTCTAGCCACTTATCTATTTTAATTATGTATTAATTGTTTGCTGTACACTCTCACTCATTCGTCCACTCGCACGCCTTCTAACCAAGTCCTCTTCTAAGCTGTTACTGATTTCTTATGTTCTGGCGTCAGCGAGTTGCCGAAATTTTAATTCCCGCTCTAACAGAAGTTCATTTACATAGCCGACACTGCGACTCAACGTATCGACATGCTTCATCCTATCACCGAAGCGACTAGTACTAGTTTAAATAAAAAGATAGGGAGAAGGCAATAACGAGTTAACATCTGATGTTCGGGTAAAATTCTTTAATTCTAGGATTTAAAAAAAAAATGGTAACAAACGTTTCGATCCACTATGGGATCTTCTTCGTTGTTTCAATAAAAAAAAAATTACAAAGAAAACATGATCTATTCGAGACGGTCATGAAGAATATGGATACGCTACAAACATATTACAGTTTGAGGAAAAGAGAGGCGGAAGTGACAACTAAGTAATCGTCTAAGTATTATGCGAGATGACGCAAAATGTCATTATCCCGCTTTGAAGTTGCAATTTTGTAAGGTGAGCATTTTTTTTTCTTGCGTTTTTACATTTTACAAATTTCATATTTATCAAGCAACGTTTTTGCGAGATCGTCATATTTCGATGATTAAACGAAAAAATTGCGCCCTTTGTTTTTCCCCGCGCGTATACAATTCACACACGTTTGAAAAACTGTGACTGCGACACTGACAGCGACCGGAGTGTAAAACGGCGAACACTCTTTTTTCACGCTCGCGTGTGTGAGTGACACATTTACGTTCGTAAGTGGAATTTGCATGCGCGCGAACATACATTCGCGTCGCGCGATTCAAAGCTCCTTACACGCGTGTCTGCGTATGTAAATGCGGAGCAAGTAGGGATCCTTGATCCTACAGGAATGCTGTGTGCTAGCGGCTGCCCACGCGGCTGCCTCGAGTACTTCTCTCGTCGTCTCTCTTCCTCCGTCTCTCACATTGTTCCTGCTTCTTTCTTTGTGTTTTCATGACATGTAATCCCGGTAGGACCGGGCATAAAGTGCGAGGTGCTATCGGCCAGCGCAACACGCACACCTTCGTTATTCTACAGAGAACGTCGCCTTCACGTTGACACAAATCGTTTAATTTAAAATGTGTTATTTCATTATTTCAAACATTTCATTTTTATTCGAATAATATTGACCGACTCAATTTTCTAATAAATATATACGCACAAATAAAAAACTATCACGAATCGAAGTTTTTTTTCTTTTGCATCCAAACGATGAGCTACTTTACGTGTCGATTAAGAAAAGAAATGGAAATATGTACTTTCCATCTCGCATCGAACGAAAAGAAACGCGATACCGCGAGACGCGCTACGCCGCGTCGCGTCGTTCCCTTTCTATTTCTGACAAATTACATACGCACCGTGTCGTTGTTAATTCCTCTCGCTTTAACGTCGAGCGAACGAAAAGATACTCGGGTTTCAACTCACTATGTTACCGCCGCCGTCATGCAGCTCTCGCGTGATCGAACGAGGCACGTCCCCCATAAATAAACTTTTCATACATCAGCGGGGAGAGAACGGCTGTAGCACGCGGAATAAAGCACACGCGGAGATGAAATCATACCCTGCGCGCCGCAGGATGCACCGCGCGCATCCGCGCCAACGGTGTCCGGTAGCTCGCAGCAGTTTAATCGACGTCGTCCTTACGAGAAACTTTTCGTCCCGGTGTCTGCGTGAGCGCAGTTAAACCAATGCGGCAAGAGCGGCGCGCATAACACAGCAGAAAAGATCATCTTCGATCTTCAAGGTCGACCGCATGCGGCTCGAGGCCTTCTCGAGCGAAAGACGTCGATCCGCGCCGCGGTGAATTCGTTCGACTGTTTTCATCGTCTGGCAGCTGTTATCCCAGCCCCGTTTCTCCCGTAGCATTTACTGCACTCGCGTCCCGGGGCGCGACTGCTTACATTTATCGATTTAAATCCAAGTTCTCGATGTGATGGAGCAAATGACGGAGAACGGAATCGTCGATGAGGTACCGCCCGTGGTAAAACTCACGGATGTCACGAAAAAAAAAAAAAAAAAAAACATCTGTGGATAATGCGCCGCTTTTTTTCTCAGAGTAACGGGGTAAGGTTATATCCGAACGTCGAGACAAACGGAAATCGCGAGGATTTTGTACCGGAGAATCAATGGGATGAAAGAAAGGCGGACGAAGACGGGGAGAAAGAGACGTATGACGTTTACAAAATGGATGACTATCTTCTTTGGAACAAAGAATCGCCGGAATACGAATATGAGAGAATGTACGGTGAATTTGATGACGAGGGAATAGAAGAAGATAGGGATGTACCATCTACCGCGACAATTTTCGCGGCGGAAAAATCCGAGGAGGAAGCGCGAGATGCGAGGCCCGATCACGTGCTCGATGAGATACCAGCTGAGGTTCGCATAAACTTGTCATTCCGCGTCATTGTACCCTCGGAATTACTGTGCCTCACGACCTTCGTAATAGTCTGAGGACTTAAGCCTCCCCTCTCATTACGCGCCTCCGCACGAACGTGTTTCCGCATTGTATACGTGTTCTGTCTCGTTATTGTGATCAATTGAAATGGTAATAATAAAACGTTTCTCAAGCGTTCTAACGTTTATTTCTTTAAATTACAACAGATGCAATGCATATTTTTTATCTTTGCAATATTGAGAGAAAAATTTAATTTTTTTATAGACTTTGCAATATCGAGAAAAAGAAAATACGTACTTTATAGTAACTAGATAAATTCCAATATCGTGAGATTTAATTTGAATTGCCGGAACAGATTTTTAACGATCGCGAGGAGATGATGAAAAAGCATAAAGAACTGTTAGCCGAGCATCTGGAATTGCGAAGGAAAAATCGGCTTCTCGAGACGTGGATTCTTAAATACGTAAAAAAAGTTGAGTATTTAAACTACAACAATTAATTAGCTCTTATAACACATCGAGAAGAAATCTACGGAGGTAATAAATTTTACGCGTACGTTTGTTCGATTTCTAATTTCCATTTTGCATATCAATAAACGTGTGCGGGATGGAGATATCGAAATTCTTGGAAATAAAAGCCGCTGCGGCGCATTTGTACACGCAGACGCAAGAGAAAGTGATGCCGATGGTGGACGATCACTTGAAGGAACATATGGAGCAGACGTACATTCAGACATTGTATACGTACAAGCAGCAGCTCGATGACATAATGGGGCGCAAGACGCGAATAACGACTGACATGCAAACGCGTGAAGACAAAGTGCGAAAGTTGCGCGAGGAGAACGCGCGGCTGCTGGACGAACTTTTAGATCGCGAGAGGGAAGTGGCGACGGGTCTAATTTACGCGAAGACCGGGCGAAAGATCACGGAGAAGACTGTCAACGAGATAACTCGTCGGCAGGTGTAACCTTAATGACCGTGAATCATCGCTTGTCTATTACAGCAATTATGCAACGTACCAATTAAAGCAGTCACGTGTACTTTGTGTGTATACGTATATATATATACGTCGCGGGGTTTACGTGAGGACTTCTTTATTGCCAGGTGTCGCGACGCGTGGCTCTCGCCCGCAATCGTTACGAGCACATTTTTCTTCAACGCCGCCTCGACGAGGTAAAAATGCAAGTGCAAAATTTGGAAACGCTCGACGAGGGTATAACCGCCATGGATTACGAGGCTCTGCAAATGAGTTACGCGAATTGTCGGGATAAACTGGACGAGCGCGATCGGGAGATAGAAAAATTACGCTACAAGTAACGTTCGAACGTTCGAAGGCTCCGCCCTCGCACGATTGTACATTAATATAATTAGTTATCTCTGGAATTGTTCGTTTCTTTTAATGTTTTATTTTTCATTTCAAAACTGTCGATAAAGATCGCGGTGTTTCACCTTGTGCGCGCACGCGCGCTGGCAATATTTTATAGATTGCAATATATTGGTTCATGCAGAGCTATCTCTGCGAGCAGGAGGGAGGTCCCGAGTTCGAATCCACACCTTTGGATTTTTTCGAGCCGGTCGAATTTACCGACTGAAAGAGACTAGGAAATATCGTCTTAGATCCTATCGTGATCTAAGAAATATTGTCAAGAATTTTTATTTATTTCTTCTAAGTTTACCAATCAGGATATCTTTTTTTTCTCGAAATTGAAAAGAAAGCCATTTACCACAAGTTGTTAAATATTGTCGGATAAAACGTGCTTGAATGTCATTCTCTCGCACTAACTGAACTTTCGAGAAGATGTAAATGAAAAAAACCGCCTACATTTCTCGCAAAGATAATCTGCGGAGTGTAGCCGGCTCAGTAGTCTCGCCTGAATGCCGAGATTGCGAGGTTACCCGGGTTTTCGAATCCACATTTTTAGATTTTTCCTGGCCGACGATCTTTCAGTCACGTTTGAAATCGATTATAATTGCTTCCGGTGATTCGGAATTCACCTAAAAAATCTGTAGGTATATCACACTCACGCTCCACAAGGTTTGAACTGTAGAACCATAGAAGATAATGCGATGTTGTGACGTCACAAAAATCGCGAGAATTGTATATAGTTCGTACATGGTTTATGTTTTTAACACTCCGCACACGAGAAGTATTGTATGAATCTTGATTATCCAGATTGATCAAAGTACTTTTGCACGTACATATCTGTAGGTTCTCTGCTGCGATTACATTAGATATAATTAATATATGTTATAACAATATTCTGAAATTATTAATCCTTTCGTTCTTAAAATTTAACGACTGTTATTATATGACAATTAATTTTGCAGTCGCGCAGCTTTGGCATAAAAAAATCTTTTGACTTAAGGCAACGAATGAATTACTATACCGATATATCTATCTAACCATCTATTCGTATGAGAGAGCTTTATTAACTGCTTGTGTTGGCAAATCAAAATTAGAATCGCTGAAGTGGTTAACGGAGTGGCTCACTATAAGGAGAAGGAGACGTGCCTCGCGGACGATATCGAGTTTGAAGAACGCGAATTGAACAAGTATCGCGAACAGACAACTCAGGTTCGAGAGGACGTCAACAAGCTCTATTTAATTCTGAGAGATTTACGACGAGCGCAAGACGAGAAGAGGCTCGAGGCCGGCCTGATGATGGCTCAGTAAGATTTGATTCGTTAGTAGTTTCGTGTGCGTAGCGATTTTTCGGTCAATGTCAATACGCCCGGTTCGTTGAACCTAGGCCGGTGCTGCGCGAGATGGAGAAAACGATGAAGTCGCTAGACGAAGTGAAGAACGACATTGAGATAATCAAGCGCGAGATTCAGTCGCGTCGTTCCGCGAAGAACAAAAAGAGCAGCAAAACGCTGGCGATGTTGACGATGACGCAGGACAAACCAGGTCGTTTCTAAATAAATGCTGGAAATCCTCCAATGTGTGCGTGTGTCTTCTTTCGTGACAATTTACTTTCTGGCCTGTAGCGTTCGCGAAAATAACATGAAATCTATTACACAAACACCAGCGCAAATGTAATAAAGATCATGTTTTCCTATTTTCTTGGATTGATTTATTATATTCTTAGATTGATTCATTATATATTCTTAGATTGATTTATATTTTGATTTATATTTCTTGCGAAAGAAATGCAAAACGCGAGATTTACAGCCGCGCAGTGCACAGCTTGCTTTTTTTCATAATTAACAAATCTCGCAAACAAATCGACAAATGATTGATTTTGCGCAACCATTATTATGAGACATCAGGGTTGGATGATATCCAGTTAAGAGAGATAATATCTTGTTCTCTCTAAAGAGATAAAAATTGAGTTAAAATGTTAAAAAGTTAAATAATTTTACTTTACTTATAACTTAACCCTCAACGGACGGCGTGTTTTACGGCACCTTAATTCTCCGGTTATAGATCGTTTTCGTCTTGGGCTTTTTAAAAATATTAAATATTTTTTTTTAAATCTGAAACAATTTGTATATACTCTTTAAACTGTCTATTTTGAGAAACCATCATTAAATTTAGTGAAAAAAAAGTTTTAATTCCTAATTTTTAGCAAATATGACAACAAATCCAAAAACAAGAAATTTTCCAAAAATTCTAGAGTAGATAAACCATTCTTAAAAAGAAAACAACCATAGTTTTTTTCTAATTTCAGAAAGTAATTTTGCTCCAGACGAAAACGACCTATGTCCGTCCGTTGAGAGTTAAGTTCGAGAATCGAGCCGATGGTACGACAAACTTGTGCCTTATGCTGGATTTACACTGAGTCCGATGTTCGCATGATGTTCCGACGTATGATATCGGATGTTGTATGTGAAAAATCGAATCCTGTATGAATCCAGCATTATAGTCTGCGATTATAGAGATTGCGGAATCGCGGAGAAGCGTAAAAATGTAACTATGATCAAAAAGTAATAGACACTAGTCGGTCTGGCTTTCACTCTTTTACACCACCACACTGGTCGTTAAATCCAATGTAATTTACATAATCGCCAAGTGTTCACGGTTTTAGAACGCTTACAGCAACGCTGCAAAGCGGTGAAAAGAATGTGCACAAAGCAGCGAGCAAGTATCGAACTTATCTACTTCTCTTTTCTCCATAAAAATTAAAAAAAGGTTAAAAAAGTTGCGTTATTTCATATTTCTAGTCATATGTGAACATTGCAAAGTTATAAAAGTTATAAAAAAACAATACTGCGCGCGCAAATAAACAGATGTGTATATATTTGCGAATTTCAATAAAGAATTGCCTAGAAAACCATAAAGACTGTCCGACCGATCTTGGTTTCTATTTGGGCGCGCAGTGTCAGATAAAACAAACAATGAAGAAACAAAACCAAACACATCTGACTTAACAGTAATGATTATCGCATATTTGGTGATACCTATCGATTACTCCGGTTCTATTCCTTGTCTCGTTTTGAAGACGATGTGGCAAACTGCACGACCTATGCACCGACGAAACGCACCACAAAGCGCCCGACGAGGCACACGACGTTGACGACGTACTCGCGACACGACGAAGTTCCACAAGCGGAAAGCATCGGCTGGCACGCGGCCGCTTTCACGATTACGAGTCACAACCGAAGTCGTGTTTAAGATATGTAAGATAAGATAAGATGGTAAATGTTTACAAAAACAGACCCAGCCTAGATGACCTTGACCTTGACATATGTCAATGTCAAAGTCATTGAGATATTCTTTTTATCATTTATTCTTTATTCAAACAATAGTCCGTAACGGACAGAACGCCTGTCACGACACAACGAATGATGCAGCAATTCACTCTATTTGACGCACAACTGGCGGGCAACACTCACGACAAAAATAAAAAATAAAATAGAATAAGAACGGACGCGCACTTAGTAATAACAATAAATAAATAAATAAATAAAATAAAATAAAATAAACGCGCACATACAACACTCAGCCCGCCAAATGTCGCACTCGCTTACCCGTTTTGACTTTCGACAGTCAAACTAACGAACAAGGCCGAGCCAGCCTAACTCCTGGAGCTGAATATAATAAACACAAACTCCCAATTTAATTTCCTCCTCCCCTCACAAGGTCCCTGGATCGCTCCTCTTCCCTGGCTCCTCGCACTCGGAAAAATTCGCTCACACGCGAAAACGCGATTTTTCGGTTTTTCGAATTTCCGACTACACTCGCGATAAAATGAATATTAAACTGACTTCTGGAACTTTATTTTTTGCTCAACAAAGGCTGGGCCAAGCCCGGTGGTACTGCAATACCGGGATGACCCCGGAGCCGGAGCAAGCTCCGGGCGTCCGTCCAGTTCCAAAAATCAATTTAATATTCTGAGACCGCTTTGCGGTCTGTATCAGATATTAAGCTGATAAGAAGTCTGGAAAGATAATAAGCAGCGGATGAGCTTAGATAGATCCTTTACCTAGATCTATTAGATCTATATTATCCTCTGCGACTCCCGCTAGTTTTTTATCGGCCGAGCTGCTTTATCCTGGCATTTTCTGCCAGGCTATTACAGCTAACTGATCTTTTTATTGTTTAGATCCCTGGGCTACACAAACATAGAGCTCAGAGCTCTGTATCTTTTGAGACTTAGGGACGGGGGCAGCGACACGAAATGTGCAAGCTGTCCTCTTTTTTCTCACCACATCTGCATCTGCTTTCCTCAGCTAAACCCAGATTTAGAAGTCGTGTTTAAGGCTCACATTGGCCCTTTATCCCCTTTCATTGTGTTTTAAACATTTGGAACCTTTTCATCTTTAGTTATTTAATAATAGAGTGCATCGCCATTGTTATTACTATTAAATATCATGCGTGATCTAAACAATCGCAAATTCCCGTACGTGTACGTTGTTGCATGCAAATCACTGTTCGCGCCGTATCACAAATTACGTTATCGCGATGTAAAACGGACTCGTCATTCCGCAATCGCGATCCCACATAATTCATGAATTCTCGCGGCGTTACGGGATATATACTACAGCGGTGTACTAATTAAAAGGATGGGTTTGTTCGCGGAAATTAAGAGCCGACGAGAAGCGAATGCGATTAAATAAAATCTCTCTGCGTGCAATGCACGCGTGTGTGTAACTGTCAGAGACGCCCGATCGAATAATTTATAATTTGCGAACGCGACGCGTTTGTCCGATCGAACATTTCGAAATCGAATTAATTCGCTCGGCCAACCGTATCAATCCGCCCACGGATCGTCTTCTTACGGATCTGTCGGTCGTACGTATATTGATGCGTAGTGGCGCAAACGATTTACTCGCGTGTTCCATACATACGGCCATAAAAAAGATACGGATGCGTTAGTTGAAAATGTATTGCTTATGGAGTCACGCGGGAGAAAAGAATAAAGTTTGCATGTGCACTCGGTTTTCACCGAGTATGTCTCGCGTCATACGCGTGACGTTAGCTCGCTCTTAACTCGATTACTGCATTAGAGCGAACGCACGCATGTTAACTCCGCGGTGTATTCTTAACTTTCCATGCATATGGAATGAATCCCGAGCAAAAGGCGGAATAAATTAACTACGCGTGAGAACATTAATCCTCTCGACAAACGCTTCGCTTTTTTGTTTCATAATTACAAGCAAAAAAGTCTCGCTCAAGTCACTTTTGGGTTGTGTTCCCAAATTCGAATTTTCAGTTAATATTGAAAATCTAGTTTACGTGACATATGTCATAAATTAGCTTTCTTGTGAATGTTACGCTATGAAATTCAAAAGAAGGAGTACATCGTTTAACATAGTACATCGTAGTATTTAATTTTTATAAAATATATAAATTGTATACATTTTTATAAAATGCTTAAATATATGAATTTTATAAAATAATATATTAAAATGTTTTAATAAAAATTTTTTAACAAATAACAAAACAGAAGATCAATATCGAGCGAAAACGGTTGGCAGAATATATTTCAAAAATTGTAATTACAACAATTTTTTCTTGTTGAATCGTGCATTTATTTCACAATGTTCTCTTATTTACGTTGTTCAAACTTTGTTAATTCATGACATTCATCTTATTGTAGATAATTTTATAATTAATATATTATAATTATAAAACAAACAAAAGTTTACTTGGTGCTACTTTTTGATGTCACTCCTTTTGTAAAACAGGTTTTTAGAGAAAGTATGTTTTGTAGTATATAACATTTTGTAAAAACCAGATTTTATAAAGAAAGAACTTTTTGTATTTTGTAAAAAGATTTTTAGAGAAAAAGAAGTTTTTGTAGTACTAAATCAATTTTTAATTTATTAATTTAATTACAATATGTGTGTTGTGCGTGTACTTGGCGCCTGTTCTTATCTTTTTTTTGAAAAAGTAAGTTTTTCGAAATATCACACATTTTATATTTTCTAGTATTATATGAACATAACATGTAAGTAGAATGTTATGTAACTGTCATACAGTTACATAATGTTATATGACATGTTATAATGTCATTACCAGCTAATAACGAGCAATATAATAAGTATATAACATAATTATATTACAATTATAAAACAAAGGTATATAACGAAATATATATATAAGGTCTTACGAGCCGAACGCAGGATGTTTGTGCAGAAATATGCATGTATATACATATGAATTTATTTAATTTTTTATCTTTTTTGCAATATTTTAAATTAGTTTGGGGGAGTATTCGGGATCCTTCATATACGAGATGCAAATCTAGCATCCTATATGATTTGTGAATTGTGATATCAATTCAATTAACTCACTTGTAAACATTTACTTGTGAACACGTATATATATTCATATGTATATATATATATATATATATACAGGGTGTCTGATAATGACCGTATAACCGCTCGTAGGCAGGTAGAAGGGATTATTCTGAGTCGAAAAGTCCTGAACCATTTTTTTCTATTGTATATATACATGCATATTTCCGCACAAACATTCTGCGTTCGGCTCGTAAGACCTTATATGTATATTTCGTTGAAATTTTC